TGCAGTGGCCAGGGCTGGGGAGCTCTGGCTGGCGTCCCTGGGCCAGCGCTGCAGGCTGGGAACAGACAACTGTGCCAAGAGACAGGACAGCACAGGAGAGGAGCCACGGCCGACAGTTCATCAGCCTGGGTCCTGCAGACCTTGTTCCAGCTGTGTTTGCTGTCTTGACTGAGAAGGGGGAGCCAGCATGCGTTTGGATAGAGCTGCTTCTCGGGCTGCATGATTTTTTCCTTGTCTCAGGTCTCCTTCCCCACTTCTTCCAGTGACCTCGAATGTGCCACAGGTAAAACTCTTCCAGAGCATCTCTGCGCCATCGTAGGCCTGAACTTAACGCCAAAATTCAGTTATGGATTTGGGGGCCCATCATGAGGGGAATAGTACTGGGGTCCCCGAAAACATGTTCGAAGTCCTAATTTCGATAGACTGCTGTCCAAATACTTCTCATGTAATCAGAACACACTGGAAAGCCTTAACACACACACACACACACACACACACACGTGTGCACACATGTTTCTGTGTGGCTGCTCTCTCACTATACGGAGAAGGTTAAGATTTAGCAAGTCTGGAAGAGGGTCTTGAATCCACACTTTTAAACGCTTCCTACAACTGCTTGGCCAGTTTTTTCAACCAATGATGTAAACAACAACTTTTTGTACTTTCCTCAACTTTTATGGTACTGGATGGTATGAAATTACTAATGGTAAATAAGGATTAACATTGATTCATCATGTTTTCTCACAAAGATAAATAATAATGTTTCTTTTTGAAACATGTTTGACATTTTCCCCGAAAGGTACAAAAAGGAGCAATTCCTTTTTTTCTACACTCTTCACATGCATAAACAAATATGTTGCTGTTATATTTGCACTGCATTTTTGGTGAAGTGTCATATGACCTATGGACATAATCATGACAATGACAATTATTGTGTTTATTTTGCCAACATTTCACTTTCCAGAGAAGACATTATCTTTAAACGTACATTTTAGTGAATAATTCAGTCCTACCTTCTCCCTGAGGTCTCTTCCACCCTCACATCCATCTTTACTTTCTCTACTGTAGCATTTAGCACTTTCTCCTTAGATCAGTCATGTAATATTTAAATGAAATTTTACTCAAATCTTCATGAATTGCCTAATTTGCAAATACCATTCTATTATTCTGTTCCCCAAAGAAGTTCTACATGATAATATGACAAAAAACTATACGATTGATGGAGAGATATATCTGTATGGTATACATGACCAGGAAAGATATTTGCTGTAAGGAAAGTTATGCGTCATCGGGAAACGTATCCACGTAAGTAAGGTATACCTGATAAAGACTAGAGAATGACAGCCAAATTCAGATTGATGTGTTGGGTAGCAGCCACTCACTAAATAAGAGACTTGTTCCCACACACTGGTCTCATAGATTGCACCATTCACTGTCTCAAAATATTCAATTTCTGTTATAAATTTATTGAACTACAGAAAAAAGTAAAGATCTTGTATATAAATTTCTATGTTTTTCATATTTATGCCTTTTCTCTTTCCCAAATAATTTCTAACCTAAGCAGAGACCATAAATATGTATTGGCGTCCCTGTCAAACCTCCAAAACTCAGTGTAGGAAGTTACCAATAATATTCATCACGTGAATTAATAAGTCTTAAATAAGGCTGAATAAAATTGAATGGGCTCACACTTGCCTATTTCAAAACTTAGTACAAAGATGCAATAATAAGATTGTGTGGTAGTGGGATGAGAATAGATATCTACATCAATGAAATAAAGTTAAGAGCTCAAAAAGAAACCCTTATAACTATGGCCAGTTGGTTTTCAGTGGAGTGCCAAGATCATTCAGTGAGAATAAATAGGCTCTTCAACAAATGGTGCTGAGACAGTTGGAAATCCACTTGCAATAAACAAACAAGCAAATAAACAAACAAACAAATAAATAAAGTTGGCTCCTACAACATGGCATCTACAAAAGTTTACTCAGAATGGATCAAAGACCTAAGTATAGCTAAAACTGTAAAATTCATGGAAGAAAATATAGCATAAATCTTGAGATCTCATTTAGGCAATAATTTCTTAGATGTGACACCAAAATCACAGGGATCAAAAATATCATTAGGTAAATGCAAATGTAAACCACAATGAAACCACTTCATGCCCACTAGGATGGCTATGATCAAAAAGACAGACAATAACAAGTGCTGGTTAGGAAGTGGAAAAAATCAGAGTCTTCATACATTGTAGGTGGGAATTTAAAATTGTGCAGCTGCTTTGGAAGAGTTTGCAGGCCCTCAAATCTTAATCATAATGGTGACCCATATAAGCCAGAATTGCATTACTATGTATATATCCAGGAAAAGAGAAAACATGTATACACATAAAAACTTGTACATGGATGTTAATAAAAAGCTGTCTTCATAATAGTCAAAAAGTGGGAACGCCAAAATGTTTACCCATTGCTAAATGGATAAATACGATGTTTCAAAATAATACAATGGAACATTATTCATCTAGGAAAATGAATAAAGCACTTATGCATGCTGCAATATTAACAAATCTTGCCAACATGCTAAGTGAAACAAGCTCATCACATTAGAACACAGATTTTAAGAATGCATTTATGTGATGTGAAATGTCCATAAAAGGGAAATCCGTAGAGACAGAAAGTATATTAGTGTTTGCCAAGGGCTGGGAGAAGAGGAGAACAGGGAGTGACTGCTAATGGGACAGTTTCTTTTAGGGGTCTAGAAATAACTTGAAATTAGGCAGTAGCAATGGTTGTGCAGCCTTGTAAGTGAACTGAAAACCACTAAATTTTACACTTTAAAAGGATAAATACTATGGGAATTATATCTCAATTTATTTTTTAAAAACAATGGGAAGCAAAGAAATTGTCAATAAATCTAAAGAAATTCTGATTTCTTAAAGGCAATAATGATTAATTTGAGATGTATAAAGCTTTGTGTAACCTAATACAACACTGGACATCAATTATGAAAGATAACAATATTAACAAATAGTAAATCTAGGTGAAGATTTTATACGTGTTCATTGTACTGTTCTTTCAGTTTTCTCTAAGATTGATATTTTTCAAATAAAAAATTAGGAGAAAAGTGAATAGAATTACCTTAAACAGCAGAGTAAAAATTATATGTTAATTGTCTTTACAATTGTAGACATTTACTCACTCAATAGAGTTTGTGAGTACCTACTATGTGGCAGACAAAGTAGTGGAGACAACACAGAAAATGAGTAGGTTCCAGGTAAAAAGTGACCTGCCCGCGTGGTCCATGTCCCTTCCATGATGTGGATCGGGGCTTCATCAAACAGGGAGAGTGAGGGACAAGACTTTTTGTGTTGTTTTGACTTTTTCAATTATATTATTTTTCTTTAATTATAAAAATTTGTGTGTGCAAAAGGTGTAAAATATATGTGTATACTTTAACTTTTCTTTTGGAAAAGCTAGCAACTAGTGATGACTATCCAAATCAAGATAATGAATTGCCAGAATCCAGAAGCCTCCCTCCTTCCCCTGAGAATGCCCCATTCTAACACTGGTGCTACTCATTTTCTATGCATCCAAAAACAGTATTATTCTGCCAGTTTGGAACCTTCATTTGAATGGAATCATAATGTATTGTTTTCCTTTTGCATGTTGTTGTTTTCACTCAATATTGTGATTATGAGATGCATTCCCAGTGAGCATGTAGCAGTGAATCTCTCACTTCCATTGATAGATTCATGCCATTATTTGTTTGTTAGTTTGTTTATAAACTTCTAGGCTATTTTTGCTTGGATTTTTATAAACTATGTTGCTATGAACTTTATCTACATTCAGCTGTGTATGGGCAAGAGTTTCTTCAGAATAACTAAGACCAATCTGTTTTCAAAGTGTGTAACAATTTATACTCTCACCTGCAATGTAAGAATTCCTGTTCCTCTGCGTTTTCATTAAAGCTTATTAGAGTTAGTATTTGTAAGTTCTGCCCACCTGGTTTTATGGTTTCAATTGGTATTTCCATGATTATCAATAAGGTCAAGAATATTTCCAATAGGAGCCATTTGCAGAGCCTCTTTGGTGAAGGGTACTGTAAAGTCTTTTAACATTTCTTTCTTTGTTGATTGTCTCTGTTTCTCTTATTGCTTTATGTAAATTTACTTTTTGATTCTTCTTAATTGTTATATGATAGTAAAAAGTATGTATTTTATATGTGTGATTTCTACAGATATGTTACCATATATATTGTTGACATCTAAAAGTAAGATTTTTTTTGAATATTCCTATTGTATTTAGCACCTTTTCAGAGTGTTCTTGTTAATTTTAATATCTTATCTATCAATTTGGGGAGCTTTTCTATGTTCAAATATTGAAGAAGAATGGCAGGTGTTTTTGTATTCCTTTTTAACCAAAAAAGTGTTTTTCATTTGTTGCTGTTTTTATTCCACTTACTGTGCTGAAAAAGACCTCTAGTGCAGCATGGAATGGAAGTGGTAATACTGGTGCCTTTCTTTTGCTCCTGATTTCAAATAGAAATATTCCAATATATAAAAACTAAGAATGATGATTTCTATAACACATATATACATAAAGATTCATCAGAATAAAGAAGTCTCCTTTTATTTCAAGATTGCTAGATTTCTTGGAGATTTTATTATGAATTTAAATATGTGATGTTAGTAAAAGCCTGTCTATTGAGAAGGTAACACGATTTGTTCCTCACAGTCTAGTGATGGTGCAAATTGCTTTGTTATTTTTCTCATATAATACTCTTACCTTACTGGTATAAATATAATAAAGTCATGAGGAATGACTGTTTTTAATATTCCTAGATATAGTTTGCTAATATCTTATATTTTGGTTTGTATTCCTTTGGTTTGAGGTTTTCTGTCTCCTCATAAGACGCTTTGTTAAATGAACTAAAACAAAGGACTGAATTGTCCAACAAGACACTCATGATTCAGGGATCTCCCCCAGTGTTGAACTTCGCTGAAAATGTTGACGACTCCTGTAATCAAGACTCCAGGTACCACCTTCCTGCCTCAAGCACTCCCTAGCCTGTGCAGTGCAGGCATCCAGGGGGGGTGCACCGATTACCTCACAAAACATCTCTATTTCATAGCCCAGAAAGTTCTACAGCTCCCATGACGTTCTTCAAAGAGCCTTAGTGAGAACTCTCATCCTAGCAGACGTCCTTGACCAGGAGGCCAGCTACCTGCAAATTGATGAAGCGATTAGAGTGAGTGATAAGCCTTTATTATGTCCTGGGGAGAGGAGTGAGTCACATGGTCACTGCTTTAATTCTTTCCTCCAAGTGAATTAAATTTTTCTAGGAATTTATAAGTTGCAAATAAAATTTCCAACATATTGACAGAAAGTGATTCATAATATACTATTAGCTGTTTAATGAATTTTATGCTCAGTAGATATCCCCGTTTTACTCCCTTTATTAATTTTTATACCTGCCTTATCCTTGATATCCTACCATAGGTTGTCCATTTATAAGTCTATTGAAGAACCACTCTTTTCTTTGTTAAGTTTTCCACCTGTTTGCATTTGTTTTCATTAATTACATTCTTATATTAACTATGGCCTTTTTTCTACTTCCATTGTGATTGTTTTTATATTTCTTTAAACCTTTTAACATGGATGCTTAGTTTGGTTATTTTTATTCTTTGTTCCTTTCTAAAAACCTACTTAAAGTTAGAAAATTACTTTTAACTCATCTATATCAAATATTTTCTAATATTCTCTAAGATTTATTTTTTGATTTTTCTATTGTGGAAAAAGTGTTTCTTAATTTACAAACATATGGAAATTTTCTAGTTTGTAAAAGACTTCAATAGACTTAATTTTAATTTTTTTATTTTTCATTTTTTATTGTTAATTAAAAGAAAAATAGTTGCATAGAATGCAATCTGTTCTAGAACTATAAGTAGACTTTTTAGTACATAACATTTCAAATATCAAAGTAAATGGTAAACATACAAATAAGGAAAAGTTAACAAACCTCCCATGAACAGTTTAGTATTTTAAATCATAAAATAATCTCCATAAGGCACAACTTGCATGTGATTTGCAATGCGGTCCATGTGGCTTATCAAAGGTCTCACGTGAACAACTCAACTGCAGCCTAACAAATAATTTAAAAATGTGGTCCAAAAAATATCCAGATCAAATATTTAGTCAAAATAATCTCCTTTACTCAAACTACTTTTTGAATTAAAGCTTTCATTTACATCTTTACCTCCATTCCATCCCTTCCCTATAACTCTCACCCCTGAAAGAAAGTTTCAAAATGTACATTGATGATATAAATATAAATGCGTCTTATGAAGCATCAAATTAAGCTTCTTCTTTCTTCAAGTTTCTCCTCTGCCTAGGAATCTGCTGGGTTTCTGAACCAAGGCCAGATATGTAAGTCACCCCACACACCAAAACCTGTCATTTCTGCTCTGCTGAGGAATGGAGAAACAGCCCCCAACCTCTTACACCCATACAGTGGTAATTGTTCACTGCTGCTGAGTGTAGCAGTCACCAGAAAATACACCCAGTCTTCCAGGTAACCTCAGTGTACTTTAGGAAATGAAATATTACCTAGAAGCAATTGTACATAGATTGGCTGTTTTATAAAAAAAATTTAAATAACAGCAGCGTTAAACTTAGTGACTTGACACTGACGTGATCAATACCACCTCACACTCAGAATTCTGCCTTTCACATCATCAACACAGTGATAAACTGCTATAAAAGTGACTTTGCTACAAGACACTATTTTGTAGAGCAGTTTTATGTCCACAGCAAAACTGAGCGAAAAATACAGAGCTCCCATACCGCCCCCACCCCCACCCCTACAACCTCCCCCACTGTCTGCGTCTAACACCAGAGTGGCCCATTGGCTCCAGCTGATGAACCTCCATGGACACATTATCACCCAACGTCCGCAGCTCACAATAGGGTTTACTCTCGGTGTCGTGCATTCTATGGGTTTGGACAATTGTATAACGACTTGTATCCACCATACAGAGTAGTTTCACTGCCTTGAAAATCCTCATGCTCTGCCTATTTATCCCTTCCTCCTCTTAGCCTCTGGCCACCACTGACTTTGTTACTGTTTCCCTAGTTTTCCCTTTTCCAGAATGTGATATAGTTGGAATTGTACACTATGTAGTCTTTTCAGATTAGCTTCTTTCACTTAGTAACATATATATGATATCCTTCCATGTCATTTTATGGCTTGATAACTAATTTCCTGAGCTTAATAGTATTCCTTTGGATGTACCAGAGTTTCTTTATCCATTCATCCACTGAAGGACAGCTTAGTTGCTTCCAAGTTTGGCATGATGAACAAAGCTGCTGTAAATATTATGGTGCAGGTTTTCTGTAGACATAAGTTTTCAATTCATTTCAATAACTAACAAGGAGCCTGACTGCACAATTGTATGGTAAGAGTATGTTCAGTATTACAAGAAACTGATGAACTGTCTTCCTACGTGCTTCTACCATTTTGCATTCCCACCAGCAATAAATAAGAGCCCCTGTTTCTCCACAAACCTTGTCAGTATTTGGTATTTTCAGTGTTTTAGGTTTGGCCATTCTAATTTTCTGAATTTTTTTTGAGACAAAATCTCCTGTAGTGGAGTAATCATAGTTCACTGCAACCTCAAACTCCTGGGCTCAAGGAATCCTCCTGCCTCAGCCTCCCGAGTAGCTGGGACTACAGACCCACGCCACCACTCAAGGCTAATTTTTTTCTATTTTTAGTAGAGATGGTCTCGCTCTTGCTCAGGCTGGTATCAAACTCCTTAGTTCAAGCGATCCTCCAACCTCAGCCTCCCAGAATGCTAGGGTTACAGGTGTGAGCCACCGTACCCAACCTAATTTTCTAAATTTTTTGGTGAGTAGTGGTGTCTTGCTGTTGTTTTAATGTGCAACCCTCTAATGACACAGGGTGTTTTTACATCTTTTCATATGCATATTTGCCATCTGTATATCTTCTTTGTGTGTGGACTTTACTGAATTGTTTAAATTTTGTAATGAGCCCTAGAAAATTATGATTGTTTTATACTTATTACATATCAGAAACTAGTGCTCAAAGATTAAAAGTAGTATAAAACCAGTATTCATCAGTGAAAAGCCAGAGTTTAAAACTTAGTATGACTTTAAATCCTTCGTTCTAGGCCGGGCGCTGTGGCTCACGCCTGTAATCCTAGCTCTTGGGAGGCCGAGGCGGGCGGATTGCTCAAGGTCAGGAGTTCAAAACCAGCCTGAGCAAGAGCGAGACCCCGTCTCTACTATAAATAGAAAGAAATTAATTGGCCAACTGATATATATATAAAAAATTAGCCAGGCATGGTGGCGCATGCCTGTAGTCCCAGCTACCCGGGAGGCTGAGGCAGAAGGATCACTCGAGCCCAGGAGTTTGAGGTTGCTGTGAGCTAGGCTGACGCCATGGCACTCACTCTAGCCTGGGCAACAAAGCGAGACTCTGTCTCAAAAAAAAAAAAAAAAAAAAAAATCCTTCGTTCTGTCTGGCTTCTTGCCTGCCTTCTAAATATCTGTCATTAACGCATCCTGCTAAATATTCAAGAGTGGGTCATGCTGGGTCTCTAGTACTGCATAACACACAACTTGTATGTGAATGTCCATGGCGCCTGGATTCACAGTAGTCCCAAACTGAACACAACCCAAATGTCCTTCAACCACAGAATGAGCAAACAAACTGTTAGATTCATACCACAAAATACTATTAAACAATTAAAAAGAATAAACTACTGACACACACAACAACCAGAGTTCTCAAGAGCATTACTCTAAGTGCAAAAAAAAAAAAAGTTGATCTCAGATATTATACACCATAAGATTCCATTTATGTAACATACTCAAAATGACACAATTATTAAAATAGAGAATAGATCAGTGGTTTCTGGGGAAGTTGCATGTGGGTCACACTATAAATGACAGGAAAAAAAGTTCTTTTGTGGTGATAAAACAGTGTGTTTCTTAATTGTGATGATGATTATACAAATCTAAACATGAAATAAATTACACAGAACTACACACACATGCAAATGAGTTCAGGTAAAAACTGATAAAATTTAAACAAGGCTATAGACTATTTGACAGCATTGTACCAATATCAATCCCAGTTTTGGTATTATACTATAATTACGTAAGATGTGACCATCGGGGGCACTGGATGAAGGTTTATAAGAAATTATCTCTGCAACTTCCTCTGAGTTTATAGTTATTTTAAAATAAAAGGTTTAAGAAAAATAATTGCCTACATAGAGCATTGCTATACATTGCTGCATCTATGATGGAAATTCAACAATGCTTGCCTGAGACTTGGAGGACTTACAACTCACCTCTTCACTGGTTTCTCAATGTCCTGTGTTGCTCACTTACTCTCTATGAACTTTGGTTCCATTACATATTATTCAATTTCCCTTTACCATTCTTGAAGTATCATGCTTAAATATACCGTAATTTATAGTTCTATCTCAATTCATTCATGAATTAAACTTGAAACGTATAACAAATTGCAGACATTTTCTGATGGTCAGTTTCCTAACCTGATAATCTGTGAGTACATTTCCAGTTTTAATTTGTCCTGACATCATGATTCTAAAATAACCTTGCTTTGCTTCATTAGACTCCAACCTTCATGAGTTTTTAAAGCACATCTATACTGCATCATTCTGCATGCTGAGGTGGCCTAAAAATACTTGCACAAACAGGAAGTGGTGAATTATTAGCTGGGTTTGCCTCTGTTCATCAGTATTCTGGCTACTTGGCATTAAAATTTAAGAGTCTTGGCAATACCAGCAAAACAAGTGTTGAACACAGATTTTCTAACAAACATTTTTTTCTCTGCAAAGCACATTCACCTTCCTTTGTGAAGGACTACATAATTAAAATGGCTGAAATAGTGTATCTTCAGGTATTACACATGAACCTTATTTTGTAATTCTATATATTATTGAAATTTAAGAGTGTTTCAGCTTTGTAACTTTATCAGTTATATATCCAATATTTTTAGGCTTAGGAGAGCTAGTTGACATACTAATCTTAGTCATTAAAATTTAAGCTGCCTTGAATTTTCCTTCAAGATATCCTAGAAAATTATAAAACCACTGGTATTACAGGAACACATTTATTGGAGGTTTAACAATTCAATATATAGATCTAATGATGCTCTTTAATGTCTTGATTCAGTATTATCTGTTAGACATTTAT